TTAATTTTGTACAGAAGACTTAAAAAACTCCTTTGAAACCTTGATATTAGATAATAATTAGAATTATACTAAAAAACTATCTGTGCAGTGTGCACTCCACTGTATGCTCACATTATTTAGGTGTTTCTAACTATAAAGGCCTTCATACACGAGGCGACTTGTTGCTAGCAACCAAGCAACATGTTGCCAAAAATAGAGCATCTTTCTATTTCTGGCAACATGTTGCTTACAAGGTCAAAGTAACCACAAATGTTGCTAGCAACAAGTTGCCTCGTGTATGAAGGCCTTTACATCATTCATTCTTCATAAAACATGATTTATGCAAGGGTATAGCTACTCTTGATATTATGCTATATATTATGTATTAGATTTCTAATTTAGTGGGTGTGCAATGCAGCAATCAAAGTATACTCATTACTATAAGAAGTATTGTGGTTTCCTTTCCAATGACTATAAAAATGCTCTTGAAGCATAGTCTATTATCCAAATTCATTCAACAAAAAATGTTTTATTTGATTGTCTTCATGTTCATTGGATCTTTAATAGCATTTGATGGTGTGACTACTTGTTACTGCCCACCCAGTAACCGTATCAATTTACAGCTATTGAAAAATATAGGAACTGCAGAACTTCAAGATAAACTTGGTGATTCAAGGTCGGCATAATAATTATCATTTTAATAACTATCTGTACTACTTTTGTTAGCAAGCAGATGTGTTCCTTACTCTGCTACACATACTGGATTTAATTTGATTCCTGACTTTGGCAAAGCCAAGAGTGTTAAAGCTAAAACATTCTGTGGTCCTAAAAATAGTGATGGATCTATTGACTGTACAATAGATAGCACTGATTTTTCATTGGGAACGTGCTATCCAGAAAAACACTTTTGCATTCATCAGGTAGTGTGTCCAGTAACTCATATGGCATCAATTCAGTGCTCCAGTCTCGATTTACCAAAATCTGATAGTGATTGTGAGGAGAATACGTGCACTATGTTAATTTTATTTTATTTTCATTACAGGAGAGTGTCTTGATTCAATTTTTATTACTAGTGGTATTTTACATGAAAAGCAATACTGTGGTAAAACAGATGATGGTTGTTTCTCTCCTTTTCAAGAAGCTGGTGGCAGTAAAATTAGGATTGTTTTTGCAGGTGGGCAGTGCTGTCAGAAATGTGGTTATCGCTCAAGTGTACACCACAGTCATCTTATGCTAATAATGGGAAAATAGCACGAGCTGAAAGAGATATAAAGAAGCATGAGGTACAAACCATTAATTTTTATTCTATTTCATAAATTTTATGTTAACTGCAGATTGAAGAAAGAGGTGCAGCAGGTCCACCAACTAGATATCCAAGGAAAGTAATAGTACCTGCTGGTGCTGTACTGACTTACAAAAACAGATTACTCACCGTCAAACTCACAGTAAGTGAATATTTTTAATGTTAACTTTATTACTGTTAATTGGAGAAAGCAACACTTCAAAAGATATGGACTTCTAAACTTCAAGTGAGGGATGACATAGCTTTTGGCCCTGGTGTGCTGTTTGAGGCTAAAAGAAATGCAAATAGGTCATTTGTGGGCTATGGTAAACCATGCAACTATTTTTTATTAATTAATGTACTTTTCAAAAGGTGTTATGACTATCTATTATAACAAGGTTTACTACCAGGAGAGTGGAAGAGCAACGGCAGGCTATTAAATATTTTCTTAGTGGGAAGGATACATTTGGGATTTGCCATCATGAGGGAAGCAGATAGAGTTAATTTTGCTAATAGCATCCATCATATCAGCCTTTAAAAGTAGACTTTACTTCTTCCAATTTTCTAACTTTGTCTATAGATGCTGCGCATGGTCTACATATTCTGCCTGTGATGATGCTACTGTTGATGCTCCTTTCATACAAAAGCTCTTCAGGATCTATCCCTTC